CTGCTCAAGGGCCTGCGGACTGTTGGAGGTGTGAGTGAGGGCAGAGTCCCCTCTGTCCTGCCTCTCACTGGGCACCAGCTGTTCAAGGGCCTGCGGACTGTCAGAGGTGTGAGTGAGGGCAGAGTCCCCTCTGTCCTGCCTCTTGCTGGGCTCCAGCTGCTCAGGGGCCTGTGGACTGTTGGGGGTGTGAGTGAGGGCAGACTCCCCTCTGTCCTGCCTCTTGCTGTGCTCCAGCCACTCAGGGGCCTGCGGACTGTTGGGGGTGTGAGTGAGGGCAGACTCCCCTCTGTCCTGCTCTCACTGGGCTCTAGCCACTCAGGGGCCTGCGGACTGTTGGGGGTGTGAGTGAGGACAGACTCCCCTCTGTCTTGCCTCTTGCTGGCCCCAGCCGCTCAGGGACCTGCAGACTGTTGGGGGTGTGAGTGAGGGGCAGACTCCCCTCTGTCCTGCCTCTAGCTGGCTCCAGCCGCTCAGGGGCCTGCAGACTGTTGGGAGTGTGAGTGAGGGCAGAGTCCCCTCTGTCCTGCCTCTCGCTGGCTCCAGCCGCTGGGAGTTGGCCTTCTTCACTGTCTTGCTCTGTTTGTTTTGCTCCATAGCTGCTTCCACTGGAATCTCTTGTAGGTTCTGACAACTTCTTCCTTGGAATTATACCCAATCCATGATTGTTTGTTTTTTCTTTTTCATCTAGAACTTTTTCTTCTTTCTGAGATGATCTGGCAGGTGATGTCTCGGGTCAACCGTCTTGTCTCTCAGAGGTATTAGATGAAAATAAATGCAGAGGCTCACCTACGAAATTCTCGTCAATAGTAGCATATTTCAGCAATAATGCTGCTTCTGTTGATCATGAAGATAGGTCTTCTGTGGGAGACAGTATTTTTATTATTATTTGCTACATACAACTTATCCAGTATTTGGTTGTCACTTTGAGAAAGCTCATCTGTCCTACCCTCACCCCCAAAGCAGGGCTGTCTTGCTCTCCTCTCACGGGCAGACACACTGAGGTGTAGAGGCTGCGTTGTCCCCGGCCTCCCAGAGCTTTGCTTGACCTCAGAGCCATGCTGAATACAAGGCAGAAAAGAGCAGTTTGCTTGCCAGTGATGTGTGAGAGGAGAACACTTTCGGTTTGGACTCATTCGGCTCAGTGCCGTGATGTCCCATGGAAGTTCTAGATAAGCAGTATCTTCCTCGCTTAGGGAGCGTTCTATTTTATTGTTCTTCAGAAAGCTCCACAAAAAGTTCAAAGCCATGTAGGCACCAGAGAATTGTGGCTTCCCAGAGGCCACCACAGAGAGTGTAGACAGTACCTAAGAGCGTTAGCATGGGACAGGCGTGGGGACAGAAAGTGACTGTGTGCACTTGGGCATGAGAGATCTTTCTGGACTACAGAAGTATTCTAAGACTGGATGGTGGTCATGATTGCACATCTCTGTGAATATACTAAAATCGTTGAATCATGTCTTTAAAACGAGTAAATTTTGTGGCTTATAAGTTATACCTCAATAAAACTGATTTTAAAAAAATGCCTGGAATTTGGGACAGCTTGACGGGAACCCATATCTGGGCACACAGAGCTCCACCATGCAGTGTCTCAGCTGGAAGCTTCCACAGCTGTGTGGAGGTGAGAGAGTGGAGCATAGGAAGGGGGAGACACAGGTAAATGGAACCCCACAGGGAGGGGCAGAGACAGCAGCAGATGGAACTGCACCGGCCCTATGGTGATGGCAGCTCAAACCAGGTTCCAAGCAGCAAAGGACGTTTCTCTCCAGGATTTGAAGCCCTCTCTCTGAATTGCCCTGATTCTTTCTCTAGGCTGACAACACTACTTCACAGAGATCTCACTGTACATCCTATCCATCCATATAGACTGTTGTTTAAATGGTTTGATTAAATGTACTATGCAGATTTGAGTAAGTATATTTAAAAGAATCTTTCTGTATAGCATCAATATGAGTAATGTAGTTTAATTGCCGTTTTTTGCTTAGTCGCCATTATTTAATAAGGAATAGAATATATTTGATGTGACAAGTTTTAAAAAAATTTTCAACCTCTAAATTTTTTTGTGTGTTTTCTGGAATGAAGGCAGCCAAGGTTTCAGTATCTGATTTACTGAAGAAATTGTTTGGCTTTCCTTACTGACATTGTTGAGAAATGAGATATAGGCCTCCCTCAGTAACCAGAGCACAGGAAACAATTGACACTGTTTCTTAACTCACATTGTTTCTGAGACATTTCCTACTTCCTAGTATAATACAGCTTTCCCATGAGAACAACTCGCTTGCAAATGGTTAGGCATGATCCATGCCTCCTTGGTGTACATTCCAGAGCCTGTCCCATGTGCTCTGTGGCGGCTGGGTTGCTCTGTGTGTGTGTGTGTGGCTTTGTGTAGTGATGCCTCCAGCTTCATTCCAAGCATCAGGTATTTTCTTCTGAATCTAACCCATTCACTGCGGGTCTGTGTTCTTTAATTGGAAGCTCTTTCTTGTAGGGCATTCTTGTGAACTTGCCAGTTAAAGGAAACAGTCCTGTGAATTGTGATGCTTTTGGATAGGCCTGTTGAGCTGCTGTGGGAAATATCTCTTGACAGTTTGTGTGAGCCATCCTATGTGTGTGTGTATTTGCATGGAGGTATGTGATGTCGGTGGCACCATGCAGTTGTCATCAAGGAATAATTCCAGAAATGGGAAATTAAACCCATTGGGATGGGATTATCTAATCTAATGTGCAGTTAAAAAAAAAAGTCTTCACTTTATTTCTAAAATAGTAGCTCCTACATTCCGAAGTTATACTGTATATAAAGTGAAAGTAAAAGTTTCCCAATTAAAAATAAAGATGTGGAACTCTGAGTTCCTTTTTTTTGGTCTTATCAGATTTTGTAAAAATCATCCCACTTGTCAGTTTGCCGCTCTTTCCATCTAGAGAACTGAATGCATTTCACAATGCTTTTTCTTCATGCCCTTCTCTTCAAGGCAATTTTTGCTGGGCTGGGTTTATTTTTATCATTGCAACAACCAGTTTTTAGAAACTTTTAGAAACGAATAAAGAGAAATGAGAATGGCCCCGTAGCTGACATTCATCTTAGCTGTTTGCCAGTGTGAGCAGCTGAACATTTCTAAAGTCTCCTCTCCAAGTATGTCTTATTTTTCTCAGTTTGTCCCAGTTCTAAGTCTCCATTCTGCTGATTAGGTAAAAAAAAAAAGTTTTATTGTAAAACCTTATCCTTGGCAAAATGACTTTTTGAACTTTGAGTTAAATCTTTATTTTTGTGGCTCTATTCAGTATAATCATAGGCTCAGGGAAGGGAGAGCTGGCAGGGCCTCTAGGGGTTGCCCATGGAAGTCTCTCATTATATGAATGATGAAGCTTAAGCCCGGAGGGGTGAAGGGACATGCCCAAGGTCATATAGATAATTGGTAGCAGAAGTGTGGCCAGAATCGAGGATTCCTGATTTCTGGTTTGGCATTCTTTGTTGTCCTAAGTGGAGGTAGTTTGTCTGGATGGAGCTGGACAGCACACCCTCCCAGCAGCCTGGGCCAGCAGACAGGTTGGATTCCACTGTAGCTAACTGAATATTGGGAGGAAATTTTATTTTTCCAGTTTGAGCCGGTCACGTATGGCCTGGTCCTTCTGGCCTCGAGATGTTTTCTTCTGGCTGTGCACCAGGTGTGGTGTTTGTGCAGCAGAGAACGCAGTTTGTACTCACAGTGATTTCTGTTTCTCCCTTAGGTCACCACACCATCTATATTGGGGTTCATGTGCCCAAAAGTTACAGGAGAAGGAGACGCCACAAGAGGAAGACGGGGCACAAGGAGAAGAAGGAGAAGGAGAGAGTGTCTGAGAACTACTCCGACAGGTCCGACGTCGAGAACGCCGACGAGTCTGGCAGCAGCATCCTAAAGCCCCTGAGTGAGTGCTCTGTGGGTGCTGCCCACCCCTGGCTCTGGAAGAGGTGCCCCTTAGAATCCTGTGGTCAGTGAGTGCTCTGTGGGTGCCACCCGCCCCCCGGCTCTGGAAGAGTTGCCCCTTAGAATCCTGTGGTCAGTGAGTGCTCTGTGGGTGCCGCCCACCCCCAGCTCTGGAAGAGGTGCCCCTTAGAATCCTGTGGTCAGTGAGTGCTCTGTGGGTGCCGCCCGCCCCCCGGCTCTGGAGAGGTGCCCCTTAGAATCCTGTGGTCAGTGAGTGCTCTGTGGGTGCCGCCCGCCCCCCGGCTCTGGAGAGGTGCCCCTTAAAATCTTGTGGTCAGTGAGTGCTCTGTGGGTGCCGCCCGCCCCCTGGCTCTGGAAGAGGTGCCCCTTAGAATCTTATGGTCAGTGAGTGCTCTGTGGGTGCCGCCCGCCCCCTGGCTCTGGAAGAGGTGCCCCTTAGAATCCTGTGGTCAGTGAG